CGGCTCTCCCGGGCGGGATGCTCCGCGGGGCTTGGGCTGCCCTCCCGAAACGCCGCCGGCGCTCCGGGGCGGAGGTGGCGTTCGCCCCTCGGATGCCGCTGGTTGGCGGGTCTTGCCGCTTATGGCCGAGTTGCCCTTTTTTTAAGGCGTTCAAAAAAAGCCCTTTGGCGCGCCGCTTTCTGAAGGGCGAGTGAGTTCTTGGGGACCGCAGTTCCGCGTCGTGACTGAAGTTTTGTACCTCAAGCCCGGCGGGTGGTGGTCTGTAGCGGAAAGAACGAGGGGGTGCTGCTGTCTGCCGCGTCGCCGGTGCCTGACAGCAGTGCGTATGTGGAAGTGAACTGATTGACACCTCGCCCGCAAGGTTAATCGATAATCGGAACGATTTCTCTTGTAACGCTAAGTGCGTTTTTATAGGCAGCCGTGAAGCCCTTAAATACGCAGTAAGTTGTTAGAGCGACAAAGCTTACCCAGTACGTGGTCCTCAGAAGATCTTTTCTCACAAGTTTGAAGCATTGCACTCCCGTTGCTGCGGTCGCGTGATATACACCAACTTCTTGTCTTGCGTCTCGATAAAGTTTCTCAACTTGAAAAGAAGTAATCAAACCAAGTTCGTTATGTCTACTGCCAACTTCCCTCACTACTTTTTAAGTGCTAACGTGATTGCTGGTATTTTTTTCCTTTGCCTATTGGTATTCCAGAATCCAAGGCCTCGGAAGTCTGACAGCGGTGGAAGATTCAGCTGCCCCAGGAGAGTAACTGTGCCTAAGGTCAGTAAAGTACTTTGCTGTTTCCTTTTTTTTTTTTCATCATAACAGTACACATACATGAAAATGGAAATGATCACTAAAGATCAGCGGTGGCAGGTACTAACCGATCGACAGCCCAGCCAGGGGGAGCGGCAGGACCAACGCCCCATCTGCCGCCTGGTGTGGGCAGGGGCCGCGGCCGGCACCGGGGAGGCCAGCACGGAGCACAGATGACGGTGCTTCTAACTTCATGGAGAGACATAGATATTATTAACTTAAAGTGCATGCTGTACCTCAGTGACCCGTAAAATCTTACCTGTGCTTGAAATCTAGGAATTCTGAAACAGAAGTTAGAAAGACTTTTTTGTTGTTGTTGTTGTTTCTGACGACTCAAAGCAGTGCAGCCCAAACTTTTCTGATGTCTTTTAAGTCTGTTGCAGTGGAAGCCTTGATAAGGAGGCAGATTGACAAGAACACTCTCGGATAAATGCTGGTTAATCAAAATGCACATACATTAAAAAAACTTAATGAGTAATTTTGCTATGATCAGCATTTTGTCACATTAGCTTTGAAACTAATTTCTAGAGAATTTCAAAAGAAAATTAAGGAAGTTCTCACCGGAGTGAGATTATCCTCTTTATTAATATCAAATGTGCTTATGAGGAACATGTAATTTTTATTTTTCTTTTAAGCCATTTGACAATACAAATCTTTTTTTCTCCTAGGTTGTGGAATTGCCCTCTAAGCTGAGTGTATGGTTTGCATGATATCCCTGTTCACTTTCAACTAGTATGGTGAGTTTCTTTTGGAAACTGTTTTTTAATTTTGGTAAAGTTTTTGTTATTTCAGTTGAGAGAGGAGGGAAGGGGCATGTGTCAGTTAGTCTACTGCCCTGAAATACTAATATTAAAGGTAACTTAAGGTTGACATTCATTCTGTTCTGAGTAGAAATAGCATAAGCAAAACATACGTAGTTCTTAAATTGTACAAATCTGACATCACAAAGTAGAACCTTCCAAATAAACTTGGTTGTCAGAGAGTAAAGCAAAGACTAAAGGTGCATTAAAGGTGAATCAGTTGGGTGGTTTTTAAGAAATGTTCTTAAGTAGAGCTTTTTAGGTGTTTCAGTAATGATACAGGTGGTTGATCATAACTGCAAGTTTGACTATGCTTTGAGTTGTTAGATGCTGCCTGTGACGCTTCGTGAAGGCCTGTTTTTTGGGGTGTGATTTTTTTTTTTTTTTTTTTCTTTTTTAGAAGATGCTAAGGACTTTCTGAGAATTGGACTTGATTGGAGGATTTCCAAACTGTTAGGTGAAAATGCAAGCTGTGAAGACCATGACTGGTTAAAACTGCCCTTGCATGAAGAATTTTAAAATTTTTCATAAACCAGCTTGTGACTTCTTTGTTGTTGCTGTTAAATGCTCTTAAAAATAGGAAGAGTAAAATAAGTAAAATTACACTTCATCAGCACTAATATGCAAATTAAATACAGGGACTGATTTATTTCTCTGGGATACTGAGGCTAATTTAGATCTAAAACTTATATTTAGTAAGGGTAAGAATACATAGAGGAGCTATGAAGAGAGAAACTATTTTTATTTGGATCAGGAAGATTCTCTAGAAAGCTGTAAAAATTCCACTGTTTTGTGGCAAAGAAATTGGCTCTTCATTGCATTTGGAGGAAAATGTGATTCAAGTTAAACTGATTAAATTCAAAGAAATTAGTAATGGTATGAACTATAAGTTTTTGTTGACTATTGAAGGCAGCCCAGATATGTATATAGATGTATATTTTTCTTTAACTGAGGTTAGTGACTTCCTTGTGGCTTAGTAAGAGAAAAAAATCAGGAACAACAGTAAACACAGCAGCTGAATTTATATTTGCAAGTTAAATTCAGCCACTCTGGTACCAGATTAAAAAGATTTCAAAAGGCTTCTGAATTCTGGAAGATGATGTTCAAATTCTTAAAGAGATGTCAACCACTTGCATGTTATTATCCTTAGGTTTCTGGCTCACAAGCCTTTTTCGGATTTATATTCTACATAAGTAGAATTACCTGGCTTACTTTTTCCTGTAGTTTCTTCATCAATACCTGTTTCTAACCCACTTTGAGTGATGTGCTTATGAAAAATGTCTAATGTAGGCCTAATGTGAATGAAATCATCCCTCCTTATGAGCCTGCTGTTCACTGATCAAACTTGTTTACTACTACTATGTGATACAATCAGAAATGGGAATCATCTGTCACAATCAGAAACATCAAAATAGCGTAATATAAATTGATCTCATAGTTTTCTTACCAGTTGTCAAATTACTATTTATTTGATTTGGTCTATAGTCAAGAAAATTAATCTGCTTAGGTACCCTGTGGGGTGGAGATAAGCAGTTAAGTATGCTGGGTCCTACCAGGGAGTATTTATCAAGTTTTCTGCTAAACTAGTCCTGTGCTAGCTGAAGAACCTGTGGAAGCATTAAGTGATTAGCACAAGTGTGTTTAGGTTGACTTTCTTTTAAAGGATATCCTGATTAAACATAATATTGTGTCAAAATATGAAGATGAGAGTTAGTTATGTAATAAAAGCATGCCTACAGCTGCTGTTTCAAGGTACGGTTCTTAATTCTTTTCTTTTGCACTCATTAACTGTTGCATGGAATTGCACTGTTGCTTTTGGTTTTTCTGCTTTTGACCATTGTATATAATTTGTACTTCTAATTTAATTTTGTGCTGCCTAATCTTTGTGGAAGACTACATTTGAGAGTCTTCCCCCGCCCCCTCTCCTCATTTCAGCATGTGAAAATAGACCCTATCTTTTCAGGTCTGTGGACATGACTTTCATATTGGAGTAAGAGGCAGCATTTCTGACACCGCGGCAGACTGGGTAGGTGCAAAGGAAAAAGTGTTTTGACTGTTCCTGTTGCTACCACTCTTCCCTACTCTTGCTGTTTCCTTGTTAACTCAAGTTGTTCAAACTCAGGACTGTTGCCAAAAGTGCAGCACCATCCTTGGCAGCACATTTCTGCATCTCCCTTATGATGTAGCAATTGTTGTGTGTGAACTGCATAGTAAATTATTCTGGTACCATGCTGCCTTGCAGTTGTTAGTCACTGAAGGGGGAGCTGTAAGAACACAAGGGTGGGGAATGACATGACTGCCTCTGCTTGCTGCCGCCTTAGGGTCATCTTAAACTGACCAGGAGGCCACACCCTAAATTTCCTATGAAACCCAGTGGAATGAATGCTTATATGATTCAATAATCTAACCATTATCTCTGCAATTGACTTTCTTAATTACACTGTACTACAAGTAATTTAACTTGCTGCCATTCTTATTCATTAGGAGACACGGTGTATTACAGGGGCATTTAAAGTCAAGGCGAAGACATCATTCTTTCTCAATAGTGAATACCAGAAGCAAAGGAGCCAAAATAATGTTTGCATACGTACACTCTGTGCAGCTGTGCATATTTCACGCAAGTGCACAAGTGTATGGTGGAGTCAGTACTCCCTACTAGGATCCTACCATTCAAACAAAACATTACTGTCTCTTGGGAGGTGAGTTGTATTAATCATGGGAGTAAGGATGATCCAAAAACAGTTCAGGTACAGGCAGAAATCAAATCTTACCGTGTCTTCTGGTTTGGGATCAGACCATGAAGAGAAATCAGGGACTGGTAAGCCTTTTCTTGTCTTTAGGTGAAATGGTAGCTACATGTGCAGTGGCACAAGAGAAGGATGTGAAATAACTTCCATGTGTAATGAAGAGCAGGCCACTGCAGATCTGTCCTACTGTACCTTGCAGTGACTTCGTTAAGAGTATCGCTCCAACTTTCAATTCTTGCTTACTAGGTAATTCCTAGACTGCAATACTTTGAAAAAGGTCATAGACACTTTAAAGAGAGGATTCAAAACACATTTTTGCACTTGTCCAGAGTGACAACATACTTCAAGGGTAGTACTTGAGCATGCAAACTATGCTTCAAAGACTTCTGTATCTTAAAGGTCTTTCCAACCTAAATGATTCTATGATTCTATATGCCTTCAGCCTTTTAACTGTAGTATTTTCTAGGCGAGAAACAATTACAATACTGTTTGGCAGTCAGCATGGAATGCATGTTGCCACAGTGACCCCCAAAACCACTGCAAATTAAATGAATACAGCATCTGGGTATTTTACTGACTTGTAACATTGCCAGGTGACTTAGTTTAATTCATAAATTACATGTAATCCCTCTTGGTTTTGTTAGGCTTTCTTTTCCTACCTAGCTTTGCTAGGCTTGATTAGGATTTCCTTTCCGGTTCCATTTCTGTGGGTTTTTTCTTTGTTAATTTTCTCATTTTATTACCCACTATAGTCCATTCATTTTCTTACTTTTTTTTATTTGTCAGTTCATCTGTTTCTATTTTCTAGTCTCTGATTTCTCTTCCTGGATCCATGTATACAGACAAGTTATTTGTTCTGAGGTTGTGTTACCAGGAAAATTACTCTAGCTTCAGGTCTATTCCTTCCCCCTTGTTTTGGTTACCTGTCCTTTCCCAAAACACAGTCAATTGAAATCTGTAATGATTTTTTTGTGAAGTCATTCATTCACTGCACAATGTAAGACCTTGGATGTGGTGGAAGCTGTAGTGCAAAACTTAGTTTCTGTGCAGGAAACTTCTTGAACTCAAAAGTAGGGGATCTGTTCATTTTTCATTTGGTTTCTGTCAGTGCTAGTGAACTTGTTTCTGTGTAATAAAACTTGGTGGATGTATAGAAAAGCTTGCTCTCCTTATAAAACTGATCAGTTTTATAAAGATGAATACAAACTCCAGACATCCTCAGTCTCTTGAGCTGTTTGGCTGTTGTGGTTTAACCCCAGCCAGCAACTAAGCACCATGTACTATCTATCTATCACTCCCCCTCCTCAACAGGACAGGGGAGAGAAAATATAACAAAGGGCTCATGGGTTGAGATAAGAACAGGGAGAAGTCACTCAATCAATTACCATCACGGGCAAACCAGACTGGGCTTAGGGAAAATTGACTTAATTTATGGCCCATCAAACAAGAGTAGTGTAATGAGAAATAAAACCAAATCTTAAAACACCTTCCCCCCACCCCTCCTTTCTTCCCAGGCACAGCTTCACTCCTGAATTCTCTACCTATCCCCTGCCAGCGGTGCAGGGGGATGGGAATGGGAGTTGGGGTCAGTTCATCACACGTTGTCTCTGCTGCTCCTTCCTCCTCAAGGGCAGGACTCCTCACACTCTTCCCCTGCTCCAGTGTGGGGTCCCTCCCACGGGAGACAGTTCTCCACAAATTTCTCTGGTGTGGGTCCTTCCCACGGGCTGCAGTTCTTCATGAACTGCTCCAGCACAGGTCCTTTCCACGGTGTGCAGTCCTTCAGGAGCACAGACTGCTCCAGCGTGGGTCCCCTGCAGGGTCACAAGTCCTGCTAGAAAACCTGCTCCAGCATGGGCTCCTCTCTCCACAGATCCGCAGGTCCTGCCAGGAGCCTGCTCCAGCGCGGGCTTCGCACGGGGTCGCAGCCTCCTTCGGGCACCCACCTGCTCCGGCGTGGGGTCCTCCACGGGCTGCAGGTGGAGATCTGCTCCACCGTGGACCTCCGTGGGCTGCAGGGGGACAGCCTGCCTCACCATGGTCTTCACCACGGGCTGCAGGGGAATCTCTGCTCAGGTGCCTGGAGCATCTCCTCCCCGTCCTTCTGCACTGACCTGGGGGTCTGCAGGGCTGTTTCTCTTACATGTTCTCACTCCTTTCTCCGGCTGCCGTTTCTGTCTGTCCCAGCAACTTTTTTTCCTTCTAAAATCTGTTATCCCAGAGGCGTTACCACTATCACTGATGGGCTCGGCTTTGGCCAGCGGCGGGTCCGTCTTAGAGCCAGCTGGTAGGGGCTCTGCCAGACACAGGGGAAGCTTCCTTACAGAAACCCCCCCTGTAATGCCCCCCCCTCCCCGCTACCAAAACCTTGCCACACAAAGCCAATACATGTCCATATATACTGAAAAGATGGAGCATTCATGTAAACAAAAGATGTAGGCTTTCTGGATACAGGGGAGAATGTAAACAAAAATTAATGTTGTACTGTCTCCTGAGTCTCCAGACAGTCTGAGATTATGACTTTGCCCTCATTTATATGATTACTTTGTTAATACTGAAGCTTTAATCTAAAGGATGATTCCTACAGTGGCTAGTTTATTACTAATTGTTCCAACAGATGAAGCAGAGTTGGGCTGAGGAACAGAGACTATTGCATGAGAAAGTGTCATGCAGTGAGAAGCTGATAAACATTGCTAAGGTAGTGGGGAGGAAACAAAACACAAATGAGACAAGAAGGACAAGAACTGTGGGTATCATAGCTGTGACTATGTTTTTCCTGCATACTACACTACTCTCCTAGAAAATATTAAGTAGTAATTAAAAATTCAGCTTGTGAATAGAAGTATTGTACTCTATTGTTGATCTTGATGCAAATCTTTCATCTATTAGGACAAGAGCTTATTCAAGTAATACTTAATTTATGTGATGCACATCATCATGCAGATTTTTATTACTTTCCAACCACTTGACTTCAAGTGTGCAATTCTTAGAGCTTTTAGTCCTAGAGTTATGTGATTGTTTGAGAACATGAATCTTCCTTTTAAAAAATAAAAAATATCTGGCTTTTGTAGTTGTGGAGAAAAGCTTTAAATGTGAAGCTGAAAATTAAATACTCAAAAGGCAAACAATCCAAAACATATGTGTTTAGAGTGTCATGGTTAAGTTGAGAATGGAATTCTTTTTTTTTTCCAGACAATTTGTAACGCTCTGAAAACTTGTAAGTTAGAAAAAGTAGTTTCATGCTTTTAAATTGAATGATTGATCAGTTGAGAGACAAATCTTTTTGGTAGCTTCCTGTGAATCCATGGCGGGTTTTGGATGCATGGGAAGCGAGATCTTTTTTCCCCAAATATTATTTTCTTAAACTAAGTTATGTATGTTTAGTTCTGCAGAACAATAGAAATCAAAGTAACAAAAGTAAATATCTTTCATGCTACAAGGTAGAGCTGCTGATAAACACTGTATCCTGGAATCTTGTTTGTGCATTTTTCTGTTTTCAGAAGGAAGTAGGGTTAAAAATGAACAGTGAAAAGGGTGTGTTTCACAGACAAATTTTGCAGAATTTTGTTGATTGCTATTGTGATCCTGGCAGTCGTTTTCTTTTTTTCTCTCCATGCAATGCATTGTTAAACTATTTCCTTTGCAAGAGAAAAAAAAAAGGCACAACTCATCATATTTTGACTTTCATAACAATGTTTTTCTTTCTTCCTTTAACCTATTTACCATTACTTTGCAGTAATTTGCTAACATCTTCAATTTTCTTTCTTCATGTTTTTTCTACGGTGTTGTTACAGATCTCTTAGTAGTTGGTTTAAAGGTAGGAATCTCTTTATAGCCTTTCACATACACTGGTTACTTCTTTTATTATAACCCTTCCTGGTTTTTGCTGATGCCATGTTGATAATCATAAACCTCATGGTTTTGTTCTGTTTCTCTTAGCTGTATTTCTTTCTCAATTTTAACCTTTAATAATAACAAATTATAAACCAGATTGTCCAGTTATGGTACTTTTGTACTTTTTAAGGCTATGTAAATTTTCTTCTGCCCAAATTCTGCCTAACTTACTTGTGGGTTTTTTAGGTTACTGGTTGTTTACATCCTGTAAACATCTTCTGATTGGTTCATAGTAAAGCATAAAATGGCACAAAACCATACACAATATGACATTGTATAGATACATTTGTGATTTCAACCAAACCCCCTTAAGTTTAAGGCAAAGTATCATCTTACTGTACAGGACTTCATTCTGTACAGTGTTTATTTACAGACATACTCACAC